ATAAAACTATAAAAACTCACGATAGTTACACTAAGGTTTTAGAAGGAAATTAAACTACGACAAACCAACAGTAGGTCGGAAAGCAACACACGTTCAAAGTGACAAAAAGTATGAGGCATTCCCGAAATGAGAGAGTGAAACTGCGTTATTTTGATTTGAGCATCTTGCTTCTCAACCTTGTAATACGAGTGTGAAACGCACATATGGTTATAAAAGAAGCAGTGCCATTACTAGGTATGTTAAAAGGGCAGTTGACATACGGTCTCCTGCTTGTATAGTATTGTGTAGTTCCATATTTATCACTACCTTAACAGCAACTAACTTCTTTACGTCTTATTAAATTCGTTTTTATAATTCCTAAGTATTCCATATCGTCTACATTAGACAGGTTTTTCATCCTTATTCTCTACCTTCTGCAAAATGCTGTAAAGAATTTATTGCTGAAAACATAATTTGGAAATAGTTGAAAGTGACTTGATCCTGAAACAAGCTCTGATTGCTCACTATGATTTACCGTATGAAATCAATCATAACTGTTTTTTGCACAATCGTTCTACCCTCTGCTAGACCTTTGACATTTTTGCAATTCTACCATCCAAGTTCCTTTTTGGAGAAAACCTTCCACATCCAGGAACAGCCACTGTGGTATGGCGAGTTTTTCCATTCAATTACTGTTCCTCTGCCAACTGTTTCTCAGCCAACAATTACGCAGTAGCGTATGGCCATCTAATAATTCTAGTTCTGCAAGCTACTGAGTGTTTTAGAATTACAAATTTCCCACACGCCTTGTGTCGATTTAGAATTTATACTTCAAGCAACGTTCCCCATGCATATTTACCGTGAGAAAAGGAATTCAGAAGCATGACTGGACCCCGCACTGTCAAGGAATTTACCATTCATTTAATTACAAACACAAGACTCGAGCGATATTTTCTAACAATTTCAGCGGAAAAACAGCGGACCCCTCCTGTAGCGGCTGTATGTCTGCCAGCTACCCATGAGAGTGCATTGCCTCTAAATAGACTGTAGTGTTGACATATTTTCGGATTGAAAGCTGACTGCTTGAAGGATTCTGCTTGGACCATAGGATATTTATTCTATAAATGGTTATAAACCATGTTTAACAGGATTAGAATATTGTAGTGTACCAATTGTATCCAGGTTCGCCATTGAGAAGGTACCTTTGTACAAGCTCAGCTGTTTTTTTATCAATATGGTTTTCGCAACTACAGTCCCTCGGCCAAGTACCAACGATGGCAGCCGAGAATACACGTGATTGTTGTTCGCACTTTTAAGTGGCGGCCTTAATGTTTACTGAATTTCGATCTCAAAATAATCAGATATCCATCCACTGTAGGTATACGTCTATGCTGAATTATAAAGGTGTATTACAAATTACAATAACGTTCACCGCTTTCAATAAACGCGGAATACTCTCCTGCTAAAGTGGGTTTTATTTAGGGCTCAATGAAGAATTTCCATGTTGATTAGTCGCGGAAGGATAGGGAACCAGCCAATCCTGCAAAGTCTGGCTGAAATTAGTCAAAACCTCCGTCTAATAGGATATGCTGGTTTGCATCTTATCTATCTCCAAAGACTGTGCGCTGCTGGTTCATTGGCGGATATCTCCCTTATTTCATTTATCATATCATGAAAGTACTTGATGCTAACTGCGTGTTTCCGAATTTGTTGCTTCAGCTACCGAAGGTAATTACTCAGTGTGTTGCGAGCAACCTCGTTAAATCAATGATATCAAACAATGTAAATGAAGTGTTCGATTAAAGTTAACTCCGCCATAACCAAATTTCAACAAGGGCGCGCGTACCAACAAGGAAATATCAAATAAAACAAAATTAAAAACTAGAAGTGTGACTATCTCAAGCTAAACATACGCCTATCCAATCTCTATCGTCCTGAAAGTTATAGCTAATCTTGGTTCAGATGAAAGTCGCTTTCCAAGCTTTCAGTCGACGCTAGCAGCACTTGCTCATTGCGTCTATCCGGCGACGATGCAGCTTCGAACATCGACCAAGCCGGTGCTTGTATTGTCCTGAGTCCTCGGGCAGAAGCTGCTCAGGTTGCTTGGATCCCAATCAGTAGCCGGATGTGTGCGGTCCGATTGGCTGGTTCGTCCAAATGTTGGAAGTCGCGCGGGACTAAAACGTGCCTATTGGTCATCCATGCTTATGCACCAAAAAAGCCTAGCGATGCTTGGGTAAAAGACTACTTCTACCGCCAAATGAACGAGCTACTTCGCCACAGAAGTAGCTCGGACACTGTTGTGCTGACGGGGGATCTGAACACTTTAGTTAGAAAATTGTCCACTAATGTACTGCATCCAGTCGACCAACATGGTGTAAGCGCCCGCAGTGATAACGGAGACCGGTTACTTCATTTGTGTGACGATGCTCGCTTATTTATTGCAAACGCTAATTTCCGACACAGCATCCGCCGACCCGGAGTCACCCGGAGGGTGACTTGATGGCCGCCAGCCTCGAACCAGTTATGGACGCAAATCGATCGCATTGCGATATGTTGCAGCTGAACAGCCTGTGTACAGAACGGTCACTCGATTTGGAGCACTTGTATATGCTGACCTACGGAGGCGTTTTGGCCGACGTCCACGACGATGATCTGAGCGCATTGACACCAGCCACCTGACGAAGCCAGCTGTTCTGGAAACCTATCAACGTGCGCTGACATGCGAGTTGAGTAAGCGCTCACGGGATACAGTTGAAGCTCACTTGTCTCAACTTCAACAAACCTAACTTGCAGCAGGCAACTCTTCTTGTGGTAAGTCTAATCGTCAACATGTTCATTGGGTCTCTTCGCATTCTCCTTGGAACTTAGCCATGCTCGCAGGCACGTTCCGGCTGGAAGCGAACATAAGGAGGCTTGAAGAAAACATCGGGCAAAACTCCGTGCTAGCCTTAAGAGAGACCGCAAATCCTGGTAGTCTCATCGCGCATCAGATAAAAATGGCCGCTGTCCTTCGTAACCATCTTAAGGTAATCCGTCTGTTACGGGAAACGGGCAGCATGAGACCTGGTGGTAGTGAAAATATGAGTGACCAGACTGGACAGCCTATCCATAACCTGATAAAACCCTTGGAGTCTTGATCTGAGCACGTTGATAGCCCTGTTCCATGGGCTGTCCTTTTGGATCTGCCCTCTCGCTTAAGTGTATATGAGATAGACTTTTGAACTTAAATAAAGCCGTCAGACCAGACGTTTTTTATCCAGGCCTCTTCAGATTCGGAAGACCTGCTCTAGTGAATGATTTGCACGAGTTACTAGTGAGACTGTTGGTGTCGGAAACTGTCCCATTGACTAAAGCCGTTCCGTTACAGTCCCAATTTTCAAGCGGGGCTCAATATGGGAACACGGCAACCACAGAGAAACCAGTCTGATCCCTAACGCCGCTATTTATTTGCCTGTGTCACTCAAGGAAGGCAGATTCGTAGGGTGTAAGCCGGGTTTCGTCGAGGTCGTGGCTGCATTGATCACATCTTATCTTTGCGTCAGTTGTTGGAGCACCGTCACATATATTAGCGACCCACAGTCGTCGCGTTCCTCGACATCAAAGATGCATGCCATTCGGTGGACTGATGTGTCTTCTGGGACTGCCTGCTAAAGAACGTTGTGCCCGATAAGTATGTAAATATTATCCGATCATTATACGCATGTAGCTCTGGCAGAGTGAGAGCCTACAGCCAGCTGTCGTCGCCCTTTAATATCTCCAGCGGTGTGAGACAAGGATGACCGCTGTCACCCTTCCTCTTCAACTTCGCTATTCACGAAGTCATGGAAATCGTGTTCACAAGACAAGACTTAGAAGGTGTGGATCTGCTCCTAGGAGGACGACTTCATGGGTTGGAGTATGTTGATGACATTGCCCCCATCTGTGACAGCTCGCAGAGCTGACCAGCGGCACTGGACAAATTAGCACTGGCTGGTAGCCGCTTCGGCCTTTGCTTTGCACCATCGAATTGCAAAGACTTTCTCCAAGATTAACCTGGACCACCTCTTGCGCTGAACCTTGGTGGCCATCAGCTAGAAGTCGTCCAAAAATGCAGCTACCTGGGAAGTTGTATTAGTGCCCGTGGGATTGAATATGAGATCACAAACCGTATAGCAAAGGCAAGAGGCGCTTTGCTAACCTTCGACACTTATGACGATATCACTCTCATCTTGAAGGGTAGAGTGTACAATGCAACGGTACGTTCGACCCTACTGTACGGTGGCGAAACCTGGCCCCTTAGATCAGCCGACATGAAGAGGCTAGTTACGTTCGACCACCGGCGCCTTCGCAATTTAGCTCGCATATAGTGGTAACACCGCGTGAGGAACGAGTGCGTTCGACGCCTTGTTTTCAGCACAGGAAAAGGAAATGAACCACTCAGCACCGTTATTTCACCCACCAGGCCCTATGGCTCGGCCACGTGTTACGCATGCCAGCCCACCGACTCCCGTGACGTGCGTTGCTTGCGCACCGGCAGTGTGGATTGAAGAGAACGGGTGGCTAATTGATGACTTGATCTAGAGGAATGAAGGCCCTCACTTCGAAGCTGCCCTCTCTTGGAGCGTCCCGGCTCCCTGGCTGGGGTTCAAAGGACGATGAACACGTTTGGCTGGATACACTTATTGAGATCGTTAGGATCCGATCTCAATGGCGTTCGTGCAGCCAGTTTCTTTGTCCCACCCCATCACTCTTAGGTTCCCCCGGCAAACACAATTGCAAGGCTTAGCCCATATAAGTTTGCATAGCTTTTTTTACTGCATGTTAGCCGTCTAATAGCGCACACGCACGAGGCGTGTACATTATCGATATCTCAGTTGGATTGCAGCTGTTGCTTTTTGCCCTTTTTAATTTTACTTATTGCGGCTCAGTAGCTGAGGTGTTTTACACCTTCTGATAAGGTGGATGCTGATGATGATATGCTTTCCAATAAACAATTTATTTCATGTAAACTTGAAGAAATATGTCGCATGTTTACCGACTTACTTCACTTTGTCATGGTAACATTCGTCCTTCCATTCTGCATTGGAAAGAAAGGCGTGCATTATCATTTGGCATTAGATAAATGAGCTGTTCAATTTGTTCAACTGTCAAGGTAAGTTAAAGCCTCGTTCAAAATCAGCGAACTAGCATGAGGTTAAGCCCGAGAGACTTCGTTTACACTCAGACGCAAATGTATCTTTTAGGACTTTCCCCGGGGAATAATCGACGAACTATATTTCGTACCCAATTTAAGGACTGAAGCCGTTATTCTCGTAGAGTGACGACATTCGAGATCAAAATGGTTTGTCAGTGGGATACGCATATCTTTCAAAGGAGCAGCTGATGAGACGTGGTTGTATATTCGGGTTATATTCTCCTGTTTGTTCACCCAATGCAAATTTACACTTAAAGCTAATGTGTATCCCCTGAACACTGCACCGCTGCAAGATTGTGAGGTTGCTGTATCGATGGATTGGCAGAATTTACTGCAATAATAATGCATACCATCCGCTGAACCATGCAATTGACTTCGTAGTTATTAACGACAAGCAAAATTCGGAACTTGAGGCGGCCTCTTTTTTGATTGGACAACGCATTCAGCGCATCAAGGTTAACATGGAATATGCAATGGGCTTTCGGCAATAAGTGGAATTCCTCCGATTGGGTAACTCGGGGGAGGGAATTAATTTCAAAGGCTGTTCCGGGTCCAGAGCACAAGTTAAGTCACGTAAGACAATTCAAGAGTAAGGCCATCAGCAATGTATGCAAACTGTAGTAACTGGAAAAGATATTTACAGCGATAGGCACACCATTGGTAATCGATCTGTATCCGATTACTGTAAGCTAGTTATGACCTATTAGCCAGCTAGATGAAATAGAAATTAAATTCGCACTTAGTTTATTGGGGGCTGTAGGGCAATCTTACACTAGAGGGTGACAGTATGTAGATGACAATTCGTTATGATATTTGCATACGAAGTACAGCTCACTAATTAGCTGCGCTGTTGGGTTAAATTACAATAGCCTACCTTTTACCCTAGTTAACTGCGGACTGATGGCCACATCCTTACTAGATGACTGTCAAATAAATTAGGTGGCTTTCAACGCTGATATTGGAGTACCTGCCGTGTGGTTGGATTGCAAATCGCAATCTCTACTGAGCGCGTGCTTCACTTCGAAGTGGACCTCGGTCAGTCCGATCACAAGGACCGTATCCGAATTGGTGTTTTGGTGTAGCTCCTCTCTACACTGACATCCCATGACGGTTTCCTCCTTCTTTGCTCTCATCAGATGGACAGCCTGAACCTCTGTGGAACTCCAAGCCTAGTGGTTAACTGCCGACGCCTTGATCACTATGCCACTATGATCCGTGAACAGGAATTAGCACGGCGGTACAGAATTCAAAGTTGAATGGGGAGAACCCGCTGTACGGTTGGATTGGACGCCCATTCTCCAATGAGAAGTGGTTTTAATTTGAAGTGGACGTCGGTCATTCTGATCACAAGGATCCTATCCGTAATGGACTTTATTTGTAGACAACGCTGATCCGTTTTCAAGTGAAGTCGTTCATGAGACAAATACCCACACAACTAACCAGAATTGCACCATGTCTGTTGCCACCCTGGAAACTGAATGAAAATAACTAGGGAGGCTGTACATGCGAGCAATAAGTGCGAATCGTCGCATAATGACAGAATAAGGCAGTACGTGAATGCGTTTTCATGTGGACTATATACACCATAATAAATGTAACCGGATTGTAGCTGATTGTTCACAACGATGTTGAAAAAGGAAACGTGTACGCACGCAGGCTATCGGTGCCTTACCTGCATGACTGGAATACGATTCAGTTAATGGTATTAATACAACTGAAAACGGAAGTGGCGAGGAAAGCCTCGCTGGGATAGCTTTCTTTTTCCTGCGCCATATATGTTCACGAATAAAGAGCTGGGCAGCATTTGAACAAATGGCTATAACAAGTGTGGAGTACGAATGCAGGGTTCAATAAAGTTGTTTACGGGCATCCCCAGCCCCCGATATATGCAGCTGCCAGGGGACATTGAGGCAAGAAAAATTGCATGGACTCAAGGAACGGTGAAAAGGAATATGTTATTTTATACTTCTTCTTCTTCTTCTCCTGAATTGCACCCTACTGCGGTCTAAGGATGATTCGTAAAAAGGTGAGATTAACTATCAGCGATAATCCCATCAGTTATCACGCTTGACACAAACATAATAATAAGGAGCTCAGCATCTCTCACAACAGGTCCGTAATAGATTTAAACGCGCAAACGCTGGGTGCACAAAAATTTGACAAATTGTTGCTTAAGCGTTTGTGGGCATTTTAATCCTTCTACTACGTTCATTCAATCCGGAGAAAACGCGTGAAGTACAACTTACTACTTTGTGCAGAGTACTATGGAAGCGCACCTTTAACGAGAAGTAAACAGCTAGAGTAGTATGATAGAGATGCCCCAACTACAAAATTCCTTTTACCGTAGCGTGCTGTCAAGAAGTATCTGTCCTACGAGAAAGGCTTCCACACAAGTCGAAACGGTAAAGTATGCTTGGCATTATCTCATATCATACATTCTACACGTCAGCTAGAATTCAGAACCACCTTAAACATCCTGCTCCTTAGAAAATACAATGTCTTTGATCTTTTATGTCTTGCATTTGCGGCTCACTTTACACAGCAAAAAAGAACTGCATCAAACCAAGTTGAGATGATTATCGCCGGGTTTTATGCAACTATGCCATTAATCTCAAAAGTAGCTAGGAGGTCAGGGAATGGAGTTGTTTGTGTCCTCCTACAGAGTAGTGCATACACAACCTTCTGAACATTTGTAAACTCAGTACACCATATGCAGGTGTTGAACAATTCTCGTTACATCAAATTCACTGCTTAAAGTTACATCTTTTACCAATGATTCATGAAACCCTCTTGCTTGTTGGCTGAATGGTTTGACCGGTATTTTTGTACATAAGAGCATACATCTGATTGCTCGTAAAGTATTGCGCTTAGCCTCTCATTCTCCGTAGGAATACTGACCGCCCCAAGAATTAAAGTTTAATGGGACTGGCATTGTAGCCACTCTCTCCAAGAAATACAGTCCAAGCTGATATGGTGGCAACCTGTCTAAGGCAGTCACCTGTCTATGGCTACCAGCCAAAAACATCACCAACGTTTTCTTGTCAGAGTAGTTTCACTATGCCTGAACCTGTTCATCATGACGCTTCCTAGGCGACCACCTGTCTGCCCTTTGAGTGGTCGCTTTAGACAGATTCGACTGTACCTGTAGATAAAGTCAAATAATAACCTCACGTTCGATCGACGAATTGTACCTTAACTCAACCAAATGGCAAGTCTGGCCTCAACTCAGATACAAACAACAGTGGTATGGCCAAAGTGAAACCACAGTAACCGGTACAATAACAGTCTTCAACGTTAGTGTTCAAGGCACCGCTTGACTGCAATTTCATCGGTAGTTAGAATGATCCTAACAACCAAACATACGACCAACACTTGTTACCATTAATATTGTTAGAAGAATGCTACACCATCGTCTACATCGACGTTACTCATAAGCCAGAAAAGATTTTGTTATCACACATCTCGTAATTTGAAATCACAAAACGTAATAACTATGGTAGTCTGAGGGCGTACTCGAAGCTGAACTTATAAACTGTAACTAATTTCAGGGATTTACAGTAACAAAATTAGGTATCCTATAACGCAGTACTCTAAATGGGAAATATGAAGGTTTGGTCAACACGTAGCTCACGTTCGATCGTTTGATACAACATTGGGTTTAGTGAAAAAGTGAACAGAAGGAAAAGATTTTGCCTGCAAAAAGAATGACAAGTTTTCAATGCAAGTAGGAGCTAGTGCAGCGCAGTTATCTCAGTACAAGTAAGTTATTGCCTAAGTTTCAACTAGTTAAACTGGAGAGGCCTTCAAGTGATGTCAGTCCCTGTCTGAATAATACATTTTATCTGGACACCAGTTTTAGTTGTGATGTGACATGCCTGGTTAGTACAGTCTGATAAAACCTCAACCTGTCCTCAGGGGTTATTTTGTGCCCTGACATGCAGACAGGAAGAAATGGTCGAAGGATTACTGTTATTGCAAGTACTTCCACTATGAAAGGTAGCTTTCGATAACAGCATTTTACCGAAAGCCGATTCGCTTAGCATATACTTGACAAAACACGCGTGAAAGCCTCTCTAGGTCAGCTAGCATAACAAGTCACACTTCTTTCAGATGTAAAACACCTTCCGTTAACCGTCCGTTGAAATCAATCGGCCCTGACGACCAATATAGACTTGCTTGTTAGTATGAAATAGACATATATGATATACTTTTGCTAAATGGATTTTCATCCAATGGAAATTAGCGAAGACCTACCTAAGACACCTTCACAACATTAACAATGATTCCAATGAACACAAGCAAACAAATGACTGCGTATGTTGGAGATAGAATTAATATTATCTTTCTGTCGCCAATGTCCGTTGTTCAAGACATCTTACATTTCTCGTCTGACTGTTGTCCATGAAAACTCCACAAAATTCCATTTATTATTGAAATTTGAGTTATCATCAGATGCAAAGATGGTTATAAAACTACATCCATCATCTGTAGTAAGTTGCAGTTTCGCCTGGCTATCGTTTAATTTGATACGGGACCATGCTTGATGTGTATAAATTCGTCGTTTCTTATTGCCAAAGCTAGGCTCATGTTTGTCTAAGTTTGTCAACAAGAACCTAGTCGTCGCTTACCGTATCTTTGGATTCCACCACTACATTGAACGTCAAAGTGAAGCCTTTGCTTCAGTAACCAACGTATGCTTCGTATATATATATATATATATATATATATATATATATATATATATATATATATGTATCCACAACTACCAAAAAGCAAGATCGCCATAGTCCGCACATGATAAAGAGCTCTCTAAGCTCTAATGGTGAAGGAAAGTAAGCACGCCTTAGACCACGTTCCATCCATTTTAACGAGGAAAATGTTCG